CCCAGTAGAGGCCACAACCATCCAGGGTCCTAGGGGAGGACAGGAATATAGCTCAGGAAGTCTCATTTGCAGATTGGATGGTGCTAGGGAGGGCCTATTGGGGGAGGGCACATTGTTGAGAGATGGGAAGCCAGGGTAGGGGTGGGGGTGGGGTGAGTGACCGGCTTGCTTACTCCCTTACCTGCTTTCACAGAGCAGTGGATATGAGCTTTAGATTCGTAATAGACCCAGTCGAAGCCTGCCTCCACAGCCAGGCGGGCCAGCATGCCATATTTGCTTCGGTCCCGGTCTGAAGTAGTGATGTCCACTGCCCGGCCCTCATAGTGCAGCGACTCTTCAGAGTGATGGCCATCCTCATCCCAGCCCTCAGTGACCCGAAGTTTCACCCCGGGCCACTGGTTCATGACAGAGATAGCCAGGGCATTCAGTTTGTCCTTACACCTCTGGGGATAGAATTGGGAGAGGTGTCACAGAGGAGGGAGAAGACAGATGGAGAGGTTGTTAACAGGACTGAGAATTATTTCTGCTTCTTGCACCCTCCCTCTCCTGATCCTATCCCCCTTCCAAGAATCTCTCTTGCTTGTGGCCCCTGATACCCAGGAAGCAGCTCTTTAACTTTGTGTCACTAGGGATCCAGCCCTCCAAGGTAGCAAAACTTCCTTGATTTGGAAAGTCTAGGTAGTCTCAGAGAGGCCTTATTCTGTGTCAGTTCAGTTTAGTTGTGTGTGTGGGGGGGAGGGGTAGGGTGGGAAAAGATAGAGGGATGGGGCTGCAATGGAGAGCTGAGACCTTGGACTTAGGACTACCTGACTCAGAAAACAGAATACACACTTGCAGTGTTGGTCATCTGGGGATGCAAATTTGTACAGAACAAGTTCCTCTTGGGAAGGATGGCTTTTTGAAGCGCTGAAACAGCAACTCCAGAATGACAGGATTTTGAGTTGGAAGGGGCCTTAAAGATCACCTAGACCAGCCTCCTCAGTTTATACAGATGAGGAAACTGAGGCCCAGAGAGGCTAAGAGCCTTGGCCAAGGTGAACTAGGTCCATTGACTCCAAATTAAGATCTCTCCTTTCAAACCACACAACTGTCTTCCAACAGGTTGAAGTTAGAGTAAAAAAAAAAAGTTACAGTAAGAAGTTACAGTAAAGAAAAGGGGAGTCTCTTTGAGAAGACCCAAATACCTCACATTCCCACAGACCTCAGAAAGCATACCTTATACTCCACCCACTTTCTTTCTAGTGCTCTCCTACCCTATGTGTCTCTGAAACTTTTCATGTTCCTCTTCTATGGTCACAACAGCTTCCCACATACTTGCAGGACTTTTATCTGACTCTGGGGGTACCCCTCTCAAACTAGAGTCCTGCTCCCAACCCCACCCTCATCCACTCCCCCAAACAACCCTCCTTTCCAAGCAAATCACTCCCTAAAGCCCTCAGAATTAGAAGTCTACTGTGAGACCAGAGAGAGGCCTTGTATTTCAGATATGACAAAAAAAAAATACACTGTACATGTCTTAAAGAATGAAGTCATGATTTATCTCTGGGACCTTCCCTGCTCACCTCTAGATTTTCTGAGATTAAAGCAAAGGTAAGAGAGGAGAATAAAACTTGCAAGTTGATAGCAAAGTTTAGCAGGGGGAGGGAGAGAAAGAAAGGAGGGGGGAAAAGCAACCAGGTGAGTTATAATTTTCCATATGGGCCAGGGCAGGGATGACAAACATTCTTTATCTGGAGAGCCACATTCTTTTTACTCTATGGAGTTCTTTTCTGCCTGGGTTTTCTGTGGTCTGATTGTGTTTCTTGTTTTCTTTAACCTTTTCCCTTCCCTCCCCTCTTGTTCTCTTGGCCCCAGTTTAGAATGGCGTCCAGCAAGTTTGAAGAGCAAACTGAAGGGTTGAAGGGAGGGGGTGGTGTTTCTGTGTATGAAGAGGGGTGTGTGTGTGGGGGGGGAATAGGAAGGAGGATGGGGAGTGAGGAGGGGAAAATGTTTCCACAAGAAAGTCTAGAGGATAGAAAGACAAGCATTCTTTCTGCTTCTTTTTCCTCCATCTGTCCACCATCTATCCATCCATCCATCTAGCTATCCATCCATACATCCATCCATCAATCTATCTATCCCCACACACATACACACAGAACTTATGCCAAGATGTTTTCCTTGTGATTACTACAATGTTATATTGGTTTTGACCCAGTTCAAAGAGAATTCTAGAAGAAAATTTAAATATATTTTTGGAGTATGGGGACTGGGGTTCCCAGGTAACTTTCCTAACTTTACTCTTCCTTGAGTCAGGCCAGAAATATATCTAAAAGAATGCTGTGGGAAAGTTTAAGCTGAATGAATGGGAAAAATTGAAAGAGAAGTTGATGTTGGAGGATAATGATTAGGAGGTTTGAGAAGAGGTGGTGATGGTGAATTTTGTGTCTCTAGAAGATAGGCTGTGTCTTTTCTAGCCAGAGTCAGAAACCAGGGACAGAAACAGAGACAGTGGGAGAACTGGAGGTGGCTTTAGCCAAGGGCCCTGGACTGGCCCTCGGTGGCTGTCAGGGCTGTTTGCTGTTAACTTCTTCCAAGACTAGAGAGGATGCTTGACCTTCTCCCAGACAACTCTCCCCAAAGAGGTTACCAATATGTAAAATCGCCCACCACAAAAACCCCTTTTTTTTAAAACAGCTTGTTAGAAAGTCTTTGATGGGGTTTAGGGGGGTAGTTGGGGGTGGAGGCTGAAGTGTACGGTGGGGGTGGGAGTGGGGGTGAAGGTGGAAGGAGACGGGAAGCTTTATATTATTTCTACTCCATAGTTTTCAAGAGAACTTGACATGATTGCTTAACAGGAAAAGTTCTGTGTATTTGGCAGCAATAAAAAACGGCAATATAGTTGTGGGAGTTAAACATAAAACAAAAACAAGAAGCAGCAGGGGGAAAAACAGGCTAGCCCTCGCAGAATTCTGAGGCTGCTAGGTGTGTGTGTGTGTGTGTGTGTGTGTGTTTTAAATAGAAGGAGAATTTGAGTGAGGTCATCACGAGGATGACACGCATTTTACGTGGAAGCGGTGAAACATGGGTGGATTTATAGCTGGGGGAGTAAGCCCGCCCCGCGGTCACGGGCGCACGTGTGCACATACACAAACACGCATACCCACGCACGCCTTCTCTTCCCGACCCGGGGTCCTTCCCGATGCACTTCAACGGTCTCAGTTGGCTCCGGACTGTGAAGCTTTAAACAGCCCGGGGGCAATCTAGGGAAGTGGGGAGGAAACGTTCCCACTCCGGGATCGAGATCTCTAACTAAAGCCGGGCCACTCGGAAATGAGGATTCTGCGCAAGGAGGCACGCGAAGAGAGAAAGCTCGGGGTGGGGAGTGGGGAGTGTGGATGGAGGCAGTGGTGGTGGAACGCGGGGGAAATAGCAAGACATTCCCCCCAATCCTCTGAATTCTTTCTGGCAAAAGGGGAAATACCACTATCACGACCTCCTCCTCCTTTCCCTCCTTTTCTTCCTCCTCCTCCTCCTCCTCCTCCTGCTGCTGCTGCTGCTGCTGCTGCTGCTGCTGGCTGAAGGACTCTTACTCTATACTGGTTGAG